TTGCCCAGCCTTGAGATGAAGATGCCAAAGAACAGAATAACCAAGTCCAGCACTCTTCTAGGGTTGTACTTAGTCCTATACATTAGACGTTTGAAGCAGCTGAGTGCATGGTACTCCTCAGGGGAAAGTGGACCCTCCCTGACTTTCTCTGGGAGAGGGAGAGATTTGAAAGAAGAGAGAAAAGCGGTCATAAGTAGCTTTTATAACAATAAGAGTAAAAGTAATGAAACTAACAGAAAATTCATAACTTACGATTCATAAGTCAACAAGTGCAAATATGTAGCCGCAGTAGTCAGTAACCGTTACAAGCAAGCAGTAAAAAGTAACGAACCGGGGCTTGAGGGAGCTCGAGAACAACCCAATCCGTGTTAGTTACGAGGGTAAGTGCAAATAGTCAAGAACCACCAGGAGTAGGCAAGGACGGAATCTCGCTCATCCAGGGGGAAATTCTGGGGAAGATTCAAGGGAGAGGGCTGGCGACTCCGCCGAGAAGTTGAACGACGTCATTCCCTGATAAAACGGAGGGCGAAGCAAGGATTCCTAGCCTAGCAGACTACCCTGCCAGCAGACCGAACACATTCACCGATGACGAAGGGACGGAGAGGCCAGACTGGCCAATGATTAATTTGGAATGGCAAGTTCAGCCCGAAATATAAAACGAGGGCGGGACCCGTAAGGCGACAACCTAAGATGGAAACAGGACACGGCGTGAACGTGTGGACCGAGAGCCGGTCCCTAAAAAGTATGGACGAATAAGCTGAAGCAAGTCATTCACCAGTAGTTTGATGTGAAGGTGGAATCTGATCAATTCAACTCTTGTAGCCGAAGAAGGCGAAAATCTTGTGATAATGCCCAAGAGCCTTCGCCCAGCTACTACATAATCGATCTTGACACCCAGAGACACGTGCCCACATGATGACGTGAGAAATCAATGTGATAGTCTTTTATATAATAATGAGGGGAAAGGCTCCAATGAACAGTAACGGATGAGTTGGTATTACTGACTATGACAAGCCTGTCGGAGAGTCGTCCTCAACTGGGCTTTTTTCCCAACGTGATATGCACAGAAGAAGTAGTCTACTTCAAGTAGACAGCACATCGGTGCCGCACAACCTTCCCAATCTTCTCCGTACTAACACGGTCATCGGCACTCAGGGCCTCAGGGTGCAGATCATAGCCTCTTGACCCTTACCTTGTGTCGGCACTGCGCCTTTCTCCTAGAGGTATCGAACTGTCCCGGAGAACTGAAGGATAACGCTGGGGCAATATCAGCAAGTGTTAACCTTTCCTGTAGAGCCATCGCAACCTAGAGAAACTCTCTCATCGACTCCAATGCTTCTCGCGAATCGTATTCAACTCTATACGATGAACCGCTGATAGTGGTAGCAGTAGCACTACGATTTATTGGATTTGGTTGAACAAGGCGCATCCTAGTTGCGAGTGAGCCCGCGTGCGATTCACCGAGATATTAGCTGAGCGAGGAGTGGCAAAGCACTGACCTTGTACACATCGGTAGGTTGGACGCACCGACTCTGAAGAAAGCTCACTTTGTTCGGAATGCGACGCCGGGGTAAAGAGGCCATGTGAACACTTTTGTTCCGCGATTAGCTATCAACCAGTGGTTGCAGTAATAAGGATCCCCTGTAAGAACGACCTCTTGTTTTTCGAAAGACAACAAAAGACATACTATGAACACAACGTCTGCACGGTATACTGATGAGAAGGACCGACACTTGTGAACACCGAGAACAAACAACAGGATCGTCTATACACAATACCATAGGGAAACACCGTGATGGCATGTCGGGAGATACTAGATCCTTCTAAGAGGAATTCGCATAGTTGTTGAAGATAGCACAACCCACCCCACCGGGGAGGGAAGCTAACAGCATTCGGTGCTACCATAAGTATATTGCCGGCATTCAAGAGAAGAAGAACAAGAACAACGGCAGAGTAGAATTATCGTCATCACAATCACACTCTTCCCTCAACCACCACAGAACTGGCGGTGTCTGTCATAGACACGTCGGATTCACCAGAGGTAGTGCCCTCTTTAGAGTCGCCGTTAGCAGCACCATGCTCGAGTAAACTCATCTGGTAGTTGATCCCGAAATAGACGAATACACCTGAAAATAACACTCCATTGAACGACAACGGTCAAAGCCCAACAATACTCCAGGTATAATCACACTAAGAATCCACAAGAGAATGAGAAAGTAACTCCAACAGAAAAAACCGACCGAGCAGCGACGCAATACAGAAAATTCCTTCCTTAATAAGGGTTGCCGATGACTCGTATGAGCCAGGAACTATACCTTATCCACGCCAGATGTAATTCCACAAAGTAATTCCTACGAACTTTCATATTCTCCCCCAACGTACGAGCCACTTACAAGAGATAGCGCCGACGCCGGAGAGAATAACACTGAGATAGAAGGGATATGCCACGTTGAGATCGTAAAGGTTACCAGCTACCAGAGGCCCGACAAATCCACCTGAAGGAACACCAATTGCAAGACACAAGTCCCGACTAGGAAGGACCCAAACACAGCGAAGAATGGAACAATGGATTCCTATACTACCAATATTGGAGGCTCCCATAACACAGGAGTTAATCAGACCTCTCCTCTTAGGTGGGGATATAACTGCAGTGAAGTAGGCTTGGCCAGCGAAGTACAGGCCGACTAAAGGGACAAGGAGATAATCACAACCAAATGAGATATTCATCAACAACAACGTGGAATACTCCTATTTCAACAAATAGACGAACACGCCGAAGCTCATAGAGTATACAATACACTCATTCTTACTTCCGGCTTGCAATCCCATACCGAGGAAGATGACCCCAGTCAAGCTGTGGATGAACGGGACGATCACGATTATCATGGTTAGTACCAGACCAAGTGAACCCAGAAGTGCAGCTGGAATGAGCTCTGAGGGAATAAACGACAATTAGATGACAATCGCAGGAACACCACTGAATTGATCAGATGACTCACTGGTGAGCTGCAGATAGATGAGGTTGGTGAAGATAGTTCCAACGGCTTGAATACCCTGAGCTCCTCCATTCTCAGAAGAGGACAAGTTATACTCATCCGCGCCCAGAAGACCAAACACAGTGGCCCAGTTGATACCAAGATACCTGCAGGAGAACAAACATCGGCATAAACGTGCGAAACAACGTTCCAGATGAAATAACCGCGAACCTTGTAATCGGCTCTGAGATCGATTTGCCTCCAAAAATGCGGGATTGATTCTCATTCTCGGAATAATCTCACTGAACACTCCCCAAAATTGGCTATCAACCGGAGAAGATTCTTTCTGGTGAGGTAGCTTAATAACGATCATGATGAACAATGTAGTGTCCCCCCATGAATCCTTACTGTGCGCAGAAGGATACGATGCCAAGTACCACGACAGTAGGCCAGAGATACTTGTTGATCGGAGGCTCCTTCTCATCAGGATGGGCAAACTTGTTGATGGGCATTCCACTCTCATCCTTCTCCAACGACTCACGCAGGAAGAGGAGTTCCAGAATGAACAATACAGCAGAGACGACTCCCATGAAGTAGAATGGGAAGGATAAGGAGACAGTTGCCAACACTCCACCTGAACATACAACGATGAGCTCTCAACCCTTAATGATATCGATAATGACGGAGCACAAAGCTAGCGATAAGCCTAGGAGTACCACACTTTTCGGAAACATTACACCATTGAATCAGCACACGCCCTAGACAATAACCTATCCATTGAAGACCAACAAGGAACGTACACGGGAAGTAGACTAACGACATATTTCGCATCATACTACAGAAATCACAACGGAACAAAACAACCCTTACCGATAGCAGGTCCAACACTCTGTCCTACGACCACATGGAGGCCCATGAGCACACCATACAGCTTCATATCGATCGGACGACTGCTGTCAGTCAAGAAGGATATGATCACAGGTCGAGTACCTGACAATAGGGAGGTTGGTGGTTCGATCCTCGGGGCTTTCATTACTACCGGCTGAGATACCAGCCATAGCACGGAAGCCTGCAAAGCTTGCAATATCCCAAGCGTTGGCCATGAGGAACTGAGCAACGGTGTAGATACCCATCGCAAAAAGGAGAACTGGACGACGACCGAGTCTGAGGAGACCACTCGAGTACTAGTTCCAGGAAGGCGCGCTACCTATCACTGAGTGGTCCGGTGACTAGAGAGGCAAGGAACGTCCCCACAGCATAAGCAGCCATTAGAATAGAGGCGGCTGTACCCTGGTTCATATCGGGAGCTAGATCCTCGATGTACCTGAGAACTCTCAATGCATTTCGCGATAGGGACTTCATATCTTACCAAGGAGTAACAGGAGCCAGAAGCGTACTGCCCAACCATTCGATGAAGATGCCGAAGAACAGAATAACCAAGTCCATTACTCTTCTAGGGTTGTACTTGGTCCTATACACCAGACGCTTGGGGTAGCTCAGTGCATAGTACTCCTCAGGGGAAAGTGGGCCCTCCCTGACTTTTTCTGGGAGAGGGAGAAACTTGAGAGAAGAGAGAGAAACGGTCATAAGTAGCTATTAGAGCAATGACAGGAACAATGAAACTGGCGGGGAATTCATATCCTACGATGCATATGCGTACGTATGCAGCCGCAGTAGGCAGAAACCGTTACATCCATGTAGTAAAAAGTAACGAATTCGAGCTAGAGCCTACAAGAACTCAAGACCAACCCAATTCTTGTTAGTTACGACTCGTAACGCATAAGCTTTCTTAGCTTCAGCGGAAACAGGTATTAAGAAGAGAAAGATTGCCCATTGAACTCGCACAACAGGGAAGTTCTGGCTAACCTCCAACGCTTTTACTACTTTTTGGCATACGAAAAAACATACAACCGATAAGATTCACAAGCGCAGCCTTACCTAGCTCCTGTTTAGTCCTAATTCGGGAGTATCGATCACTCGGGCGAGCGCTAACCACGATTCTCATCGCGTTTGCCGCACTTTTAGTGTTTTCATCTCGAAAGTCGTCATCATCTATGGGTTGTTCATCGAGATTGGGTGGGGCTGCTGGGCGGTATGCCCGTGCAAGAGGAGCATCGTCTTGGGCTCAAAGGTACAGTACCATACATTCGGTTGGTGCAGTAATAGGCCACTTTTTGTAGTTACAATAGCAATTTTGCGAGAAGGTCGATGTGCTCATTGAGCCGTAAAGTACCACAAGTCATGGGCGAGCTACCGATGAACGGGTTTTCAGAACAGCCAAGGTAAGGTGTCGATTGTTCCGTGTTCCGTTATTCTCGATTTCTTGATAACACAACGACTAAGCTGCCCGCCTGTTCGGTTAACCGTTCTGATTATCTTTATCACTACTACCATACGCTCCGACCGTGCTCATTATAGGTGAATTCCCGAGAATGGGTCTTGTATACGCTATTTCTCGTCGTAGTGGTAGTGGGTAGAATTGAAATCAAGCTTGAGTGTAGAAACTTGACTCCCTTCGAGTGTCTATAGTGAGCATTTGAGTCCTGGATAGTCGCTTTGAACGGTTCAAGGATTCCGGTCCATTACAGTGTGAGCTTGGTCTTTTCCTCAGATCAGTCGGAACGGCAGAGATGGCCACGTTGTTGTCCCGGAACATAGCAGGTGAATGCGGACCCCCTCTTGAGGCTGGTGAGTCCACTGAGGAGTTACTCAAGGTAAGTGACTCTGTCGAGTGAAGGGGATAACCGTGATGTTTCAGATGATATTCTGCGAAATATCTACAGTAAATTGGATGGAAAATATAAGTTTTTTATATAAAAGACAAGCTTGATATTATCCGACAGCTACCTCCAGAGAGTATCTTATGTTCATGCGTGCAAGAGATGTGATATCATATTCTGGTACCAAGATTTCGATACTTCATACTGAGCGTCACCCGATTTCCCATGCGCACAATGATGGATCAGTTTGTTTCTGTTGATAGCCATCAGTGATGCGTTTTGTCAAGTGGAGGGAGGTCCCTGGTTCGATCCCAGTACCCGTCGCAGAATTTCAGCTCTTCTGTTGTTGGCGTGGCGCACGCCCAACTGATCGATTTGCTTGTTTTATGGTCGTGAAGTCTAATAAGTCTGGCCCGACTCCTACCAGTGAGGAGGAAGGCCAGACCAAAGATGCTCGGAGGTGAGTCGACTGTGGTTTCTGGCAGTAAAGGGAAGCTCTGTTTTCGATGTGGTTGATCGATCATATCATAGCGTTGTGGGTTATGGCGCTGAATCAGGTATTTCAAAGAGGGCCAGAAGCATGTGACTCCGCCGAAGGTGAGATTATCTATGGGAGTGGCATGGGAACTCGGGATCTCTCAGGGTGATTCGACCCGAGGGTTCTATGAGTCTTTACTTGAGGAGAAACCTGATAGTGTTATGGCTATACGATACTGTGTGGAATACGGCATATTCGCAGGAGAGAAGTAATACATGGCTTAGAGAGTTTCTGAGGGGTCACGAGAGTACATACTCGCTTTGATATCACTGGAGCTGGATGGTTTGAACTGGAGCGAGAACTGTGCATTAGTAGACGTATAACCGTCACGTTCCGATACCTCCCGACTGAAGGCAACCTACATAGCGAGGCTTGGTTTTGAATGGTTTTTGTTACCTCTGTAGTGTTGATGAGACTTCCTCGGTGGATATCAATGTAGAAGATGTTGTTTTAGCATTACGATTGAGTCTCAGGCATCGGAAGCTCCTGGCTCAATACAACGACTTGAAGGCTAGTGGCGATTTGAATCCTAATAAGCGAGCACTGGATCGCGTTGCTGAGAAGTTTGGGTAGTATGATTTGGAGATAGAGTATAAGGGGACGGCGTTCTGGGTTTTGTTAAGATCGACCTCTAGGTATCTATACTCTCGTGGATGGAATGTACTCAGTTGAAATGTGTCGTTCGATGTAATTTTATGGCGCGTGACTTTTTTTGTGCTCAGCATCGCCAGTGAGGAGAGTTCTGCTCCGAGTGCTAAGCGAAGGAAGACGACGAAGGACGAGAAGAGCAAGAAGAAATCGTCGTCAAGTAAAGTTAAGAAAGAGAAGAAGAGTAAATCTAAATAATCAATGCCAATGATCTGGTGTATTATTTACGATAATACGACCGTCGATGCTTCGGACTGCCACCAGCTCGCGTTTGGGTCTTCTCATAGAGTTATCGCGAGTAGTTATCACTTGCTATGTCCAACGATACAGTAACAGACCATTCGCAACTGGATGCCACTGCAATGGCTATCACCGTAATACAAGGCTTCGAGGGGCTTTTGAGATCTTGGGGGACGATGTTGGAATTTTCTTCCTTATAACTCTATCGTGAATTCCGGAGATGCGAGACGATGCTGTTTTCAGTTTGCTAAGACTATTGGTCGCGTCGCTGACTTTGCTGTGGATCTTGCAGAGCAGCTCCATAAGGATCTCGGCTTAGAGTACAAGCCTACTGTGCACGGCAAGAAGACGAAGAAATCGGTATGTTCCGGATTGCCCTCATTGCTAGAGCGTTGTAGCGGGCAATCGGATATTAGCTTGCGTCTTGATTCCCTTGTTAGCGCCGCGCGTGTAATGGACGGGTAGAGCAACGGTGCACCATCTGGTTGGAATGATCGTATTCGAGTAAAACTCATATCCATCCTTCTCAATGGAATCCGGAGCTCGGCGATTCCTGGGTGGAGGATTCAGGATTATTTGTTATCGTCCGATGTTCAAGGTTCGAGACCCCAACATGCCGAAGAAGCCAAAGACTGCGTTCTTCCTCTTCTGCGACACTGAACGAGAAAAGGCTAAGGAAAGGGTAGTGTAGCGCACTCAACTTGGTGGACAGCGCTCATTCGAGTGGCCCGCGGTTCGATCCCGGAATGCGTGATTTATTTCAGGGAGATGGTCCTCCAACCACTAAGGATATGGCCGAAACCTGGAAAAGTGCGGACGACGATGTAACGAGATATTGAATTGGAATGTTAGTCGTCAAGGAAGGTGTTCCTATGGTAGGTGAAAGCGCACTATTCCAATGAACAGGCTAAGCTGAAGGAGCAATACGAGAAGGTGATAGCGGATGACTTCAGTCATTTGAACTTGTCTACGTTCAGGATATGAATGCCTACTATGCGGGCAAGCAGCACAGTGGGAGCGGCAGCCCTCCGCCGTCGAAGAGAGACGTAGGGACGGGAAACACTGGCGCGCTATTATCGAATGATTGAGTCTTCGTCCACTGTTACCTATTTGTGACCGGCTTCACTGAATGGTCGTATTTTTAGAGTCCAGACACCTCGAGCGCGTCGGAAGACGAGGAGGAGAACGCTCAAGTGCCAAAGAAGCTGAAGCGATAGATTATTAGACGCTCTCTGTTTCCTAGTATTTTCGGGAAATCTTGTGTAAGTGAGTGAATGAATGAATGGATGGAACTATCAACTTGTCTGAAGAACGCTATCAACTTGATAGCGTTCTTCAGAATCCGCCAGAGGATCGATTCGGATTGTTATGACATCCGGAAAAGCGTCTCTATGCTTTGCCATAGACAATTGGCTGGAGGTTGGTTATGTGGTTCGGTCAGGATAAGATGCCAGATATCAGATGATAACTCCCCCGTACTAGCATTATGAGGTATCGAGGATTTCGGCGCAGTGTACACGAGTTCGTTCATCAGTGATGTGATGCTTGGCGCGCATGCACATAACTGTCTCTTTAGCTGGGAGAAATGTGCCGGAGTATCACAAGCTCTCTATCGTATGGCTCACTCCGTGTCCTTGCGACCAAAACTCCAGTAAATCGTCATTATCGCTTCTATTCGTGACCGGCGATGCGCCTGAACGTAATATAGACGCCGCATTGCTGAAGAAGGGTCGCGATTGTGCGTGGTGTCAAGGGGTCCTGCTTGCTCTCTATCGGCACGCTGGATGGTTGTTACGATTTGTATCAGTGAAAGATGGAATGGTGGTAAGATCATCACTTACGACAAGATCCATACAATTTGTATACTATGAACACCGACGGTTCCACCGACAGTTCGGTCGAGTGGTCTTAGGCGCTGGCTTAAGGTGCCCGGAAGAGCGTGGGTTCGAACCTTACAGGAGCCAGTCGTTTCTTCGTAACACTCGATCTATCAATATCAAGCCTGTCACTTCTGCATGATATACATTCCTTTCAGCTTCATGAACACAGGATCCTTTTGCGATCAAACATGTCTTGCATTAGTGTGAGAGACGTCTTGACGCACTGCGCTTCCATATCTCAATAGGATCGTCGTTCCTTGAACTGTATTGAGCTTATGTTGCATGATACACGATAGAATCAAACGTCATTTCATGCGTAAGTGTGCTTGGGAAGAATTGACGGGTTTCCCGGCGATTCCGCCCATTCCGATTAACCAGCTCGTTTTTTCATTTTGATGTTCGCGACGGAGGTCAGCGAAGCATTCCATCAGAGAATCATCGATGTATCGAACGAGATGACTTAGTTAACGTCGTCAGTAGCAGAATACCACTGAAGCACGTGCTCTGAGTTCTTCTGTGAGGGAGTCACACGATACCATAACCGGCTGGCATTGACAGCTCCTTTCGATGCAACTGTTCCATCTACTCAGTGAGTGCTTCAATTTTTCGTGTTTTCTTACCCTCAACTCATCGAAATTGGATTTTTCACTTTTGTCCATGACTCATTGGAATCACAAACATGCAATCTTACGAGGCCAAGGAATGGAGGAGGGTGGAGAAGATGGTCGTGAATAAGGATATCCCTCATCTCCGATAATGATTATGTCAAAATTGTCCCCCCGCCTTGTCGAGACTCCTACGAGCATCAATAACGATAACGATTATGAGGCTTTCGTCAATTCTCTGAGGGAGCAGTCCATTGGCGAAAACGAGAGAGTTACTGTTCCTTTCGATGGCTCTTCAAGGGAGCTGGTGTAGGACATTAATTTTCCAGCAGTATTGAGGTTTCAGCTCAGGTATTGCGACTTCACTGCATCAGGCCGTAGCGTATCGGCTATCGAGGAGTTCATCACTACCACTGTGTGTCCCACGTGAGGGTCGTTTCTCCTGTCGAGTCCCTATATCTATCTTCATGTAGATACGCCAACACTCACTCGTTGGCGTCGGCAACTGCGCGGCAAACGATGAAGTACCGCGAGGAAGCGAGGGACAAGGTTCGTGAGTATTTCAATTGCACTAAAGATGACTCTGGTAACATACTTAATTGTGTGAATTGGTTATTATATTCAGCGGTTCAGTTATTTTCTGCGGCGCCGGGGCTACCGGGGCCATTACCAAATTCGTTGAAATCATGTGTCGTAGTCGGGTCTTCGCCACACAGGATTCACGGAAGGGACGTCGTCGTGCAGTATGCTGGTCCCAGTTGATCACACCTACCGTCATCAAACCCCTTTCAGGTTTTGATCATTGACCCTGTTGCTCATCATAGTTCAGTCCTGCCGTTCAGGGAGCTGGCTTTGAAATATCCCCTTGTTCGTGTCACTCGTTCGAGAGCCGGTGAGACTGATAGTTCGTCACGATCCTCGGACATGGATGTAGTCGAATTATCTTCCTCAGTCCCGGGATCGTTCGTCAAGCGGTTCAGTGGTGACAAATCCGCAGATGTGGAAGTCGAGTTAGTTGTCGGAGCTGTCGAACTTTGCAGCATTGCAGCGCATTTTTGTCATCTTAGACCTTGCCGCTGGATCCAATCAGAGGAACCGCCTCCGTACGTGGTCTGGTCGGAGTCCTCCAGAAGGTCAACTGCTTCTTGCTACTGTCTATACTCAACTATCGTTCCTCAGGTTACAGCATTCAATCGTCATCATCACGATTTTGCTGTGCCCGTAGTTGTCCTCTCCGCCTGTAGCAACGTCACTGGAGCCCGCCTTGATGTAGCCCAGTCTGTCTTTTGCGTAGCCGCGTTGTTGTCGATTAGATACCTACCGTGTCAACTTTGATTCATCAATATGACGGAATAGCGGCATGGGACTTGGCTGCTATCGCTGCTCACAACAAAGTCGTGATCTCGCCAAGTTCTTCGTGAGTTCATCGCTACCTTTCAGGTCGATATGAATCCGTCATCTCACCCTAGCGGCTATATCGACTTTGCTTTCGTATCGCCTCATAAACTCCTCGGGGGTCCGGGTACAAGCGGTATTCTGCTCTGCAAGCAGAAGCATCAGACCAACGCCGTGCCCGCTGTATGTGGTGGAGGAGTTGTCCTCCACGTATCTCGGAGAGGCCATCAATATCTTGACAATTTGGAAGAACGAGAGGAAGCCGGTGGGCGGTTACTGTACTCAATACAGTTACTGTTTTATCTTCTGTCCCACCATGAGGTACGCCGGACATCCTAGGCTGCATTAGGACGGGTGCTGTTTATTACTTGCATATGATTGTTGGGATAGAAAGAATTGCTATTGCAGAGCAGAAAATGGCCCACGATCTCGTCAACAGAATTCGGGCTAATAGCAAGGTCCATGTTGTTGGACCGAGGGTAATTTGAACTTCAAATTTTTTATCTTCAAATCCTGGCTTGGCAACTCTTTCAGGATCGATCCCACTGTGCTGGCATTATCTCTTTTAATATTTTGTATAATCAGTTGGATACTGCCACGAAGCATGGCTTGTACGGAGTCAATCCTCGACTGCTGTGTATGGCTGATGTCCATATAGGTATCTGCATTACAATTTCGTAAGTGCTGTGCTGAATGATCTGTTCGGAATCCAAGCAAGAGGTGGTTGTGCCTGCGCCGGTCCTTATGGACATGCCGTTCTCGGTGTAGACTGCGGCAGTGCTGAGAGATTTGAAGAGGCCCTCGGTATGCTGTGTCTCGTGCGTGCCGTTTTCAGAAAGCTCTCAGGTGACAAGCCTTACGAGATATTCAAGCCTGGGTTCGTCCGAGTTGGGGTTCATTTCACCATGACTCAAGAAGAAGTGGATTTTGTCGCCGATGCGATCCTGTGGATAGCCGACAATGGGTGGAAGTTGCTTCCTTCATACACTTTCAAGATCATGTCGGGGGAGTGGTATCATATGAAGAGAGACGAATGTCAGACGCTCAGGTAAAGTACCTCGAGTTCAATCATGAACAACATGACGATGTTCAGGAAGCTGTCTGACTCGTTGACTCCAGCCGCCTTCTTAGTGAAGAGTGATGTGAGTTCTCTCGGCAACGGCTCAACACGTCACAGCATGAGTCCTCTGCATCGCGCAAGTACCTCGACACCCGGCAATCACAGTCCGAGTTTTGCCAACGAGGCTTTACACGCTGCCATAGATAAAGCTAATGAACTCTGCGGCCGGGTTGTGGATGAAGTATTCATCTCGGTTTAGATCAGGATGTGGATATGTCTCCCTTGCTAGGCATGTAGTACCCAACTCGAGTTCCCGCTTATCGACCCAGAAGTCGCCGACCTATTATGGTTTGCTCATCCATTCGATACCAAGTGGTCCATCATCCAATCGATGGTGGCTAGCAAACCCCTTTTGCCAATGGTCTGTGCTTGCTTCGAGTGCTCCAAGATTTTCGAGGTTGTTGATATCGGAAAGAAGGAGCGTTTCAGGTGAGTTATCCATATTTACTAGCCCCTGGTTGCTTCGGTGTTCATTCAGACCTGAGGAGAGTATATTTAACATTCGATGTTGGGCTGATGGAGTTGACCCGCCCGAGGGGGCGAAGAAAGTAATCGCTGTAGCGCTGAGTCACTTAGCACAGTGTCTTTAGGCTGCCCGTAACCGTCGTTCAATGACTAAAATGATGATGAAGATGATGTGGCTCAAACTGACGGGGCGTGAGAAATCTTTAGGCCCGCGTGAGCGGCGTCCGATCATGTTTGCCAAATAATTTGCATCAGCTAGCATTCGACTCTTAGCACTCGTTGTGTCGTTTAAACGGCCTGTCTCGATCGTAGCCGGACTCGAGTAATCGCACTAGTATGATAGCTGATAACAGCAAGTTGAGCGGTGTTTTTCCTTCTGTGAAATGACCTAGCAAATCTTAGTATTGCCAATACTGTCCATGTTGGACATATCTATAATGCTTCGCTCGTAGTCGATTAAGTTGACTCTATTCCTAATTGTTTTCTCTTTCGGACATGGGCAAAATCACCTGCGCATATGGAAGCGAGATACGCTACAAGTTCCATTCTGGATGATTTCCGTTTTCGTCAGCTGGCTTGGTTTGAACCTTGAACTCGACTGTCTTTCTGAGAACAATAAAGTATGCTTTCTTCTGTACTTGCGAGGGTGTATTTCCTCGGAAGTCTTAACATTAAGTCTGTTGGGGTGGTTTGAGAGAATCAGCTCTGATGTTCCTTGACTATTCTTCTTTTGGTTGTGTTTGAAAGAGATGTGTTATCAGTATTGAGCAGAGCCTCTGAAGAGTCACTGAGTTGTATTTCGAAAGATTGATTCTGCGAACAGAATGGAGAGTTTTGTTATCAGTGTACGGACTCTCAACATGATCTTCAATCGACGAAAGAAGTTCAGATAACTCATATTACTCACGCAACTCATATACTAATGTCCCGTATATGCAAGCGACTGGCATGCACAGCACTTGACTTCAATCCCGTCGCTAATACAGAAACATGCGGTGACTTGTTAATCTTTGCATCGTACCACCGTCAGATTCCTACTCTCTGCTGTACAGGCAAAAATAATTTTCGTTCACACTGTGATCCTCGGATGACATTGTGAAAATCCATGTCGATATCTCTACGAGGTTCGCAAATGAGAACAGAGTCAGGAACATAACAGCGCTATGCGCTATGCGCTAGGAAGCTGGCTCACTTATATCTCTCAGCTCAGCTGAGAGATCACTCGGCCAAACTGTCCATAAGTGCATCAAAAGTCATAGCGGAAGAGGTGCGTCACACTATAAGATATGACACAAAAACGGTTTCGAACCGTTTCCGCAGAATGCATTCTTCATCTTATCACATCAAGAGAAAATTTCAACAGCTGTGAGATTTGAAAAAAAAGAACTCACGCCATTGCGGACTAACACTTGAAGCCAGCAGCTTGAGCCACTCGACCAAACTGTCGTTAGTTCAACAGCCTCAAACACGGTAAGTCTCCCATCCAGGATTGATCGGGAAGAGCACAGCGATAATCCAGTAAGAGAACACAAACCTGTGGCCCCAAAAACTCCGGACCCGAAACCCGTACGTCGGTCGGAATTCGAATAAGTTTTGCGATTTACAGGATTTGTGGTTCTTACTGGTTACGCCAGATCATGAGAGACTGCCCAATTATTCGAATTATCCGTTATCGTTGCCACGCTTTCTTATCATGTGAAACGCTTGCGCGCACTGCGATTGTGTGCGTTGCATGGCTGACAACTAACTTTGTCTACTACGTAAACTCCATATAAGTGCTTCAAGATTCATAGCCGAAATGATACATCGCTCTGCCAAACCAGAGGACACAAAAATGGGTTGAACCGTTCAACTTGAACGGTTTCTGCGAGGTGCGATGGCGCAATATTCAACTCCTTATTTATGGATTTACTGTAACCACCTATATTGTGTTCAGTAATATGGAGGTTTGGATGGTTGCCACTGGTTTATACAACACCAGGTCAACCACGAAGGTCAATAAACTAGGGTGTTGTGAAACCACTCAAATGGAGATAATCTAGAAGCCCTGCCGATAAACCGCCCAAACCAGTTCATCAAGTTTCCGACATCAAGCTAATGTCCTCAGCATATGTTGCACTCGAACGCCGACAACTATGAGCTGTAAATTTCATCATATCGTCAATTTCTTGCTTGGAGAAATCAAAACTTCTAATAGATCTTATCAAATATTCTCAAGCATGCTGGTACACTTACAACAATCTTTACCATACGGTACACCACACAACATAATCCTCTATGCATACGCTGATCCTTAAAATGTACACAATCACGCACTATAGTCTCAGAGGAACCCATTTTGGTAACACCCAACTCAATCTCTATAGCCATACCTATCGATCCTTTAGATGCACCATCAATAACTTTGATATCCTTTGCAGCAAAGGCTTTACTCGAATTTCCAATAACTCTCAAGGTCGTGGAGCTAATGAAATGCCCATTAGGATAGCATCCTTGGTTTGTTCAAGTTCCACCGTTCTTAACACACCAACCGGTGATTTGAACAAACTTTCCGCTACTTTTCCGGTATCGACGGAGCTTGCCTTTTTTCATCTGAGGTTTTATCTTACGCGCCGATTGCAGCGTCCGAGCTACCAGCTTTTCATCCGATGTCGAAATATCACCGAAACCATGTAATTGGTTGAGTGTCTTCAATCCCGATGTGTATTTCGATATCGTTGTGTACTGCAAATTTATTGATTCCACTAAACCCCTCACAAACGTAACTTCAAACCAAACAATGGGAATTCCATTCCCATGGATTTGTATATATTTCAACACTTATTCAACACAACAAACAAACGCAACAAAATACTTTCAAATTATATTCTGTTGATGACGGGAAATCCGTTTCCCATTCGACACACACCGAGTATCAACTACTAACATCGGATTATATCCTAGTTAAAAGAACACTCACAGAAACAAACTTCCAACCTCACACAAGATACCCGTATTAACTTGATACTATTAAGTATCGGGCATACATCACAACCGGCTATCGTTTAGCTGCCATATTATCTCTCGGGCCCTGCCCCTGATTGTTGATAGCTCTTTTATCCATATTAGCATCCCTTCGCTGAGTAGTAGGCGGTGAATGCTCAGCAAACTTGCAATCTTTACATGGGCAGTCTTCTTTGGTAAACCTGCATGTACATTTCCCACACCACCTTTGACATATTTCTCGCCCCAGGTGCATTCGGTTTCCCCAACATCGTGGAAGCATCTGAACACACCTCTGCAAGACGCTCAGGCTCTAGACTCTAGCCAGAAAGATAGAGAATGCCTGATGATCTTCCATCTTGACCTCATCATGAACGGGGGAAGATTGCAACAATCTCATGCATAACATCATTCGCTATTAGCGAATCGCTAACGATAACGTCGATCAAAAAACTGTGCTTTACCAAAACCGTGTTTATGTGATATCGGAGCAAACCTCGCAGCATACTCAGTGAGTATTACTCACAGACATGTATCAAGTCACCCTTACCCTCAAGAACATATATGGTGAAGGCCCACCGCAACATCAATGGAAGCCATTGCTCAAAGGTATTAGGAGGTTTCTCCGTGGGAAGTTTCGCAGTCTCCACGGCTTGACCATTTAGGGCAGGGTGTGATTTTTGCAAGTGTCAATTTCCATTCCTGAAATTTCCGAAGGAAATTTCGGAAAAATTTCCACGACCCTTGAATTTCCAGGAAATCTAACAAAAATGGCTATTTACTGATCTCTACGCACGTTTCGTTTATAAAAAAGCTCAATCTGCATTAAGAATAGCTCTCCGCATAGATAGAGTATCGTAGTGATGCTCAGAATTGGTTGTTGTGCGTAAAAGCCCCAACGGCTGGAATCGATCATCAAGGCGAGCGCTTACAAGTCTTCGCATGGCGATTCATGGCAATTCACCTCGCTCCGTCGAGCGCATCTATTTTCTCGCTCGCCTGCAACGCTCGAAAATGCAACTGCAAAGTACTTTATACCATGATAAGTAATAAGGACTCATTAAAAGTATATCTCCTTATTAAGGAGATATACTTTTGATCCCAAGCATTTCCATGTCGAGTTCATCATCCACTGGACCGCCACGTTCGTCGTGCGTCATGAGGTGCCACTTGAAACAACTTGAAGCAAGGTGAACTTGAACTTGAACTAAGTTCAAGTCTTGAAGTTCAACTTGGGGTTGCAGTAACCTAGTTACTTGGCAAGTAATACTTGCTTCTGTACTACAGCACCTGTACTACAGCGGTGGGAGGCCAAGCTCAGCCCGAGTTTTCACCAGGTAATGTAGTCGGGGGTCGAAGACAGAGCTTCTCCTACGCGACGAGGGAGCCATTAAGAGATAGGCAATATAACAGGAAAGCCTTCAAAGACATGGACAAACCAGATTTCTTCGACATACTGAACAGAATTCGACCACCCAAGAACGAGGTCTTCCGAGAGCGAGAACCTGTCTCTCACAAAGCTGCTTTGACGGATCGTCAGTCGCGACCGTGATTGACGCAACTACATCCCTTTCGAGTCATCATTGGCTCCCGAACTGAACGCGACACGCAATCGACAATGTAACGCATGGACCCACGAAACGACTCTCCAACTCGTGATCTTGCTCCTTTGTACTTCCTCGATCCCGACTGCGCGCTAGCGCAGAAGCCCGGAAGCATCTTGGCGGAAATTTCCTGGAAATTCCGGAAATTTCCACCTTGAAATTTCCAAACACAGAATATCGTGCTGAATTTCCACTCACATCACACCCTGATTTAGGGTAAACTGTATAACAGACTTGCTGGCCGCCGCGGTGATCTCAGGATAAGTCTTAAATTCAATAAATGAATATCTATCTCGAGACAAGACCTCCGCAACATGCGGGAAAGGAACCAGTTCATTGTTGGGTAAACAACCAAATAACTGTGCAGCTGACACGAGTATCGCATCCACGGAGAACTTCACCTTTACCACATGCTCTTTTTGAGAAGCAGCGGCAATTAACGCAGCTCTGAATCTTGCTCTTCTCAGTCTCACAGCGATAATATCAGCCTGAGGCTGTTCGGCATCATTATCCAATACAGCCTCCATAGCGACAGCATAAGCATCTACCATTTCTCCCAACAACTCGGCATCATCAACCGCTGCCTTCAACGTTCTCAAAGAGTCAACCGAAAATAGTGGTTGAGCTAATGTCTCAACTATGGTCCCAGACAGATCTGGAGCAGTTGAAAACGTCGACATCAACAACGGTGCATCCATATTTGAAAACAAAAGAAAAGGAACCTAAAGACAAAGGATAAACAAAATGCGAGGGCAATTCAAGCATAACGCCACTCAGAGGCGGCTGGAACTCGAAATCGCCATGAAGATGAATCAAGCAAAATAAACGAGCAGTAATGCGAAAGAATAATAACACTTATGATAAACATATATGTGATTAAAATCATCACGATTACTTAGTACGCGAAGCTAGTAGTTTACACATTGTGTAATACACAAATCTAGAGTCGCACCACCCGAATCGACCGACTTGGCAATGGTACCCTTTATCCACCACACAACACATTTACCCCTAATTAGGGATCGACCATCTGACCACACGTGGATTCCGACAACTGTCGACCGCATACTCGTTCAACACCGAGCAAACTCCCCCAACACGGGGACACATCCATTAGCCAGGCCGAAGGCCTGGCCGACCCCTGGTCGACTACTGGCCGACCCCTGGTCGACTACTGGCCGACCCGGTTGGTCGGCCAGGGCTTGGCCAGGGGTCGGCCAGAGGTTGGCTAGTATAGAGAAGTCGTTAGACTAACTCAACAGTAGATCACAATGATGATCCAACTTCACTAACTTCCAATATAACACTTATACATTGCAAAGCTAGGCTAGGATACAAATGGCACAATAGGGACATATGCCTTGTGTGCTAGGATACTTATCCTACAACTATTCTCCCCTCTCTTCCTGAGTGAGGTGATCACATACAAAGAAACTTATCCTATCAAACATACGACTTAGACTAATAAATCTTATCACCATAGCTTGTGGTATTGGCCAGGCCAATACTCAATCTTCTTACTGGATGCTTGACTCTCGTACTCCTTCTTACCGGCTGCTGGCCTTCTCTATCGGCTAAATGCGATGAATGTGATGACCTTCTCTATCTGCGATGAAGTCGTTCAGCTATGGAGTTACCCTTTGGATAGTACTCCGAACTTCTCATCAATGTCACTCCAAAATCTTGTAAGGTCTTCCTGACCTCTGGGCCACTGAGATTCCTCGCATTATCGGCTATAATTGTCCCAGGAGGTCCCAATTTAATAAAGCACCGCATCAACATCGAAGCCACCCAGTACGACGTCATAGAGGGAAGATTTTTCCCATACCAAAAACTTACTGAAGGCATCGATGATTGTCAAAAAATGTATCGGGCCATAGGAGACGATATCAATATGCAGTACTTGCCATGGAGCTGTAGCTCGACTCACTTGCTGCATGGGTAGGACTGGATCAGGAACTTGATTACGGACGCACTCTGGGCACTTAGCAACCACCTCGTAAGTACGTCTCCACATCCATAGAAGATAACATATTTTGCGGAGTGTTTCTACCGTAGCCTGAGTATTAGTATGCCCAATAGCATGAGCTTTATTGATAAGCTCTTCCAAACAAGCCGTAGGGATAACCAGTAGTAGTTTACGTGGGTTTCCAGCCCAGTAAACATGATTGTTGACTAGTCTCAGCTCATGACTAATCTTTGCATACTCTGCTAGGGATGGAGAGGTCGGTC